TTTGTTCAATCTTTCTGTGGGCGTTTTGATTGGGAGTTTCTTCTCTATAATCCTTTATGCATTAACCACCGGTGGAATCTGCCACTTGCATTGTTGTTCCCAGCATTTTGGAAGGTAGCTTTAGTTCTCCGGCGTTCAGGACAACAATAACAGTTATTTTGATGTGCTGGTTAATAGTTATAGTTTTGGCTTCTTTGCGGATTGGTTCGGAGTGGGCAGACGTTACATATCTTGGCTTATGGCTTTTAGAAACCTGCCTTGTCAGTTATGCTCGCGAGCTATGGTAGTTTGGAGATGTACTTATCCACTTCTGTTGGTAATTTTAAATTACCTTGCTTCGATTATAAATTACAAAAATTCTTTCGATTCTCCTACATTCATCTTTTTTTTTTGTTCTTATTGAGATTTGTCTTTGCATTTTAATTGGCCTTATTGATGATATCTTTTTGTATCAATATCTTGAATGAATTAAATATTTTAAGAATTAAAAAAAATGAAACTATAAGAAAAATTTTTATGATTGTCAAAACCTTCGGGAGAGATTTTTATATTTCACCTTTTTTAATAAATTGTATCACATGACTAGTGATGAGGGACTGGGCATGCATTTACACTTATACAGTTCAACAGTTGTTGTATGCGTCAGCCAAAAAACTCAAAAAAGAGAAAAAAAATACTTGAATGGCAGATGTAGTAAATATAGACAGCTCACGGCACATCGTGGTCATCAATGATAACGGTCAACTCAACGTCTTCTTTTGCAAACTTCAGTTATTTTTGACGGATGTGGGCAGTTGAGGATGTTATTTGTCACATCTCCATCTCGTTTTGACATTTATTCTATCTTACCTACCGAGTGCCGACTATTTCCTTTCCTCTCCCTGAAAATAAAGAAAAAAGAGAAATATCGTTTTAAAGTATTTAAAGCAAATCTCTCTCTCTCATTTTATTTGAAGCAAATAAAATATCTATTTGAATCTTTACCTCCGGTGTTTTATTCGAATTTGCAATTTGCTCCTTATATCTATATATATTGCCGTCGTCAAGGCTCACTTTGCTCCTTAAGTAGGGGGTGATCATTTTAGCCCGGCCTGCATCAGGCCCTTAAATTTTAGGGTCGGGTTTGGGCTTAATACTTCAAGGCCAGCTCAAACTTAGTCTGCATATATTTAAACTTACATATTTTGTGTATAATGTATATATATATGTATATGTGTTATTTTATATTATATTATATATTTTATATATAAATATTATAACATGACATATATAATTTATATTATATGTAATATTTTATATTATATAATGTATAAAATAAGTTTATATGCATGTTATGTCATTTAATATATAGATATATAATATTTTATATTATATAATGTATAAAATAAGTTTATATGCATGTTATGTCATTTAATATATAAATGTGTATTCTTTCATATATGAGTGACATTGACCTAAAATCAAACTCGACCCGGCCCAGCTCATGATCACCCCTATCCTTAAGCCTTTCCAAATTGAGGCCAAGCCATTCACATCACATTATTAAAGAGGAAAATGTCATATTAAAAAGATATTGATTGTTGGTCACTTGGATAACGCCAGCTTACTGCTTAATATGGCAAGGATCTATCTCACATGTTCCACCTACTAAGCAGGAAAGGAAGTCTGAATCATTGTTAATTTGTTACCCACCCCCTCCCCGAAGTTTCTTATATGATCAAGGAAACTAAATTACGTTCCATTTGTAAATAAATAATTGACTGTCTAAAAATACTGGATATATGCTAATGTAATGTATTGAAATCCTATATAAAGTGTGAAGAGAGAGAGAGAAAACTCAAAATAGATTTGATTTATTATTGAAGTATATGAGTTAGATTTCCTTATTCAACTAGAAAACATCTCACATGATTTGAGAATTGAGAGTTCACTTCACTCTACATACATACATCAATATAAAATTAAAATTTATTTATTTATTTATTTTTCTAAAAGAAAGACCATCTATGTGATTGAAGGAGAAACTATCTCATCTAATTAATATATTTATATTAAGTGAAAAAACATGTTACATGTTTCAAAATAAAGCATTTTTGTGAGCATCGTTATAATAATTCATTGAAAATTTTAATAATTGATTAAAAAGAAACTTCAAACCTAGGTGGAATATAAAGCTGGGGTGGATTTGGTTAAGAAATAACTAGCCGTATATTTGCAACTGCAAGTTGGGTTGAGATTTGAGAATTTGTTAAGTTTTCAATGGACCTCACCCCTAACTTGAGGCCGATGTGATCGAATTTCTTCAAATCAAGCAATTTGACATGCGACTTTAAGCCAATCTAAACTCAATGGATGGTACCATTCAGCAATAGGATTCTTCAATGTTCTATTAGACCTAAGTGAGAGAGTGGTAGACCTTTTTCTTTGTTAATGTATACTAGTGTAAAAGCATGTACTATGCACATGTGTATGCATTAATCATATGATACATGATATTTCGATTTAATTTTTATGATTAACATAGAATTAATCCAAAGACTAAGTATCCACTATAGATGTTATTTTCCTTGAATATTGTAGTCTCTGGCATGGGACTGGACACATGATTTGTACATCAGTCTTAGAGTTTATGGACCCCGAAATTTGCCACTAGTCTAATAAGAATTCATGTGTCGTAGGTTTGGATGACAATTTTTTTTTGGTTATTGCTTACAAACAGTTTTCCTTTTTGAAAATAATTCTGGACCACATAATTTGGTAAGGCCTGTTTCATATGTCATGAATCCTGTTAATAGTAGATTTCAAAGGGGTTGGAAATGAATTCTATTATTTGTAAAATATTTTATTAATTTATTTTTGGATTCGGGAAATTATATGCAAAATTCATCATCGCCCCATTTTTTATTTAAAGAAAAATAATTTTCTTATCCCCGTTCCGTCCTTATTTAGGGTCGAGGAAAATCCATCCCACTCAGAACGGAACCCCAATTTCACGGAAGAAATTGCCCTCCCTCGTAGACACCTATCATCCTACCGTCATATCCTACGTACAACCATCATTAAATGTTGTTGTGAGAAGTCCCTAATATACCATGGTTGAAGGTGGTGCACACTTTTTAGTTAGGACTTTTGTTGAAGGATAACCCTAGACTTCGTTGGAGTATTTTTAATATAGAAAATTGCAAGAGTCTATTAACACACTTCCATGCAAGGATAAAATATCCATACAATGGATATATTTAATATCAATGTACTTAAATAAGTTTGAATGCATTGATATATATATTTGTTTAAACATTTAGAACATCTCATTATAAAATAAAAAAGGAAAAGCAAAAAATATGAGTAACGGCCATATCAGTATACAACTATACCCATATTTGGGTATCAGGATATTTTAATCATTACCTACATGACACCTTAATTATTATTATTTTTTGTTTACATGGCACCTCAATTACTTGAAATGGAAAAAATTGTAAGGCCCTGTTTGGAATTGGATAGACTTTTATAAATTATTTTCATATTTTTAAAAGCATAAACTACAATATAGCATTTGTATTATGTACTTTATACTTTTAAAAGTATACAAAACCTTAAAAGTACGAAGTCAACTTTTTATACTTCATGGAACAGGTGGTACTTCTGCTTTTGGCGAAATTGTGTTTTCGTGTGACCACCCTTTGATAAAACTCTCGATCCTACCTCCACTAACCACTGTTAGAGTCGGACTTCCACCACCACTAGTCTTAGACCCCGAAACCATCAAAAATACAAATAGACATGCTTTTGCCAAACAGAAAATTATACTTTTATTTTGAAAAGCATATTATTCAATTTTTTTTTTATCCAAACAATTTTTAAAGCAAAAATGCCAAAAGTATGTTAGTGAGCAGGCTGCTCATAGACCGGCTAGATATGCTCTGGCCTCTGATTCTGTATCTACCATTAATCATCTAAGAACACAATTAGGCATAGTAAAAAAGTTATTATAGTTATGCCTGCCTTTATAAATTCCATTTGTAGGTGGGTATTAGAATTATATTTTCAAAATCAGGTTTGCTTTCTGGAAATATCTCTATTTATGATTAAACGAAAACCATCCCTTGTTTCATTTCAATTTTCAAATATATATTAAAGTCAATTTCAACATGAAAAAAATGCAACAAAAATAAAGAACCAAAGTCAATAAAATAATTAACTAATGAACCAAAGGTAAGAAAATAAGAAGGTGATTCAGCTGATGAGCCAAAAATAAGGGATAGGCAATTAGGCATACTTGCCTCACATTCAATCTCCAGAGTTTCAGACCACATTGCGAAAAATTCAAATAATTTATTTAACTAATTCCCTCTTTTCACACTCCATTCATCTCTTTCTATTATGACTTATCTATTTATTTAACTACTCTAAATAAACGGTCTATCCTTTTGTTATTATTATTTATTTTTTTTTTGTTTTAGGATGTCAGTTTCCAATATACAAAAACTATATTATAATATTGGATAATGCATAGAAGGTTCCTTCAAAATTAACTAAATCAATAGGTATATATATATTAATTGCAAACTGTAGAACAGTATTGGTTATTTAATATTTTATTACTTTATAGGAATTATTTATTTATAAAAGATTGATTATAAGGGGCCTACTGTACCACTCTAAAACCATGAGAAAACAGAAGTATTTTATTTATTTCATCTAAGTACGCAATTACATTAATCAACTAATAAATAGTTATTTTTTTACAACAACTAATAAATAAAGATTAGAAGTATCAAAATTGATGCCTTCTAGTTCTGGAAAGGGTATCGCAATTCACAACTCACAAGTAAACTCTGAAATATGAAGTAGGGGGGAGGGGGAGGCAACTGTAAAACTCAAATTAGAGGGAATAAGCGTGAATTGATTATAAAATAGGGGCAAATGTGTAAAAACCTCTAATGAATATGTACTTGCAGTGGTAGTTTTGATATTAGTCAAAACCAACGGCGCAGTGTAAAGAGGGAAGGAGAGAGAGAGAGTCCTGACGCCAAGCTACCTTCCTCCCGTCTGTTCTTGTTTCGCGGGTTTCCCCGAAGCAAAGCTTCCCCAAAAAGTCCACACACACACATAGAGTCGCACACACAGAGCCCACAACCTACACAGTTCCGTTTCCATTGAAATTGATCTGAAACCTATTTCACTTTTCCGTACACTCTTCCCAAAATAACCAGAAAACCGGACTCAAATAACGATCTCACCTGAAGAAAGCTGTGCAGCGGCGAGTTCAACTATAAACGCCGATTCGTCATCGCCGCATTTTTCACTTCTTCGAAATTTAGTACTAGAGGAGAACAACAAGTCCAACTTTACCACTCGCGGTTCAACGCGCCATTTTTTCCGATTAAAAATTCTTCACCTCAAACCAGTCTGAAGTCACAGCAACCGAGAGAAGGGATTGTAATTTCTTGCTTAATTGCTATTTTTAAGCTACTATGCGGCGGCACCCGAGGTACCGCTTTTGTTTTTGCCGGAGGTGAGGCATGGGTTGCATTCTTGGCAAGACAGCAGCCGGAGACGGCCAAGAACAAACCGGAGTTTCGGTTTCTCACCGGCGCACCAAGGTTGAAGAACCACCTGATGCCGCTAACACTGTGGTTAACGATGTTAGGGCTAGGAAGGAAGTAGTCCGGAGGGAGCGAGAGAGGATCCGCCGAAGCGGAGATTTAATAGCGCCGGAGCGTAGGAAACCGAAGCTCAAACAGGCGCTGATAAATCAGCATGAGTGGCCGGCGTGGCTCGCTGAGGTCGCCGGCGAAGCCATCGAAGGCTTTACCCCTCGGCGTGCCGATACATTCGAGAAGATCGATAAGGTATTGAAATGCCCTAGCTCCAAGAACAAACCAATTCTAACATGTCTTCTTCTTGTTCATCTCAGTCTGAATTCTATTTTGTTTATGACTAAGATTGGACAAGGGACTTATAGCAATGTCTACAAAGCAAGAGATCTGATTACGGGAAAGATCGTGGCGTTGAAGAAGGTTCGGTTCGACAATTTAGAGCCGGAGAGCGTGAAGTTCATGGCGAGAGAGATTCTTGTGCTGAGACGGCTTGATCACCCCAATGTGATTAAGCTGGAAGGCCTGGCCACTTCCAGGATGTCTTGTAGTCTCTATCTGATTTTCGAATACATGGAACACGATCTTGCTGGTCTCTCTGCTTCCCCAGATATCAAGTTCACCGAACCTCAGGTCCTCTTGTGTGTGTTATCGTTATTAAGTTTTGTTGAATTCACTGCATTTGCCTTCTTGTGATGCTTTCCTTATTAGGTATCTTGAAGTTGAGCTTTTGGTCGATTTCAATCTAAAGACTAATGTGTTGTACATTTTTGCTGTTATAGAAAGTCTAGGATCTTATTTGTTTGTTCCTAATCTTCCCAATTAGGCTTTCGACTTCTTATTTCTGCTTTAATTATGCTTCTTGTTCCCTTTGATGCTATGGAAGGCCATGGTGATGGGATCATTTTATTTTATTCTTTTACTTTTCCTTGGGTATAGTTTTCAATTTCGTGTATCTTTGGATGAATCGGATTAGAGCTTGATTACGTTCAATGATATAGGACATGCCTTTTGAAAATTCTCCAGTTTATGAGTTCCAGTTAAAAATTCAAACACTATCATTAGATATCTAGTATCACAGAGTAGAAAGATGTTCTTAAACATTCAATCTAGCTATCTATCCCATCCGTTCTTATGGTTATAATGGCATTCGACCAAAGCATTCGACCAAAGAGGCCTCCAGGCCAGACCAACTGTTTGGTTGTTCTTTTCTCCAAATGTTTCTCTTTATCTTGTTAGTTTCTTGTCGAAACAACTGTACTGAACTAAAAAAGAGCTTTATGGTTTGCATGAATCTAGATATGCCAGTGCACTCTTTCAAGGGCCGTCAGATTGCAGGACCTAAACAGTAATCTGACAAGAAATGCATTGTTAAATGAAATGGTAAAGGATGAATGAACCATAGCAAAGAAGAATCTCCATCTTTATTGGTAAATGAAATAATAAAGAAGAATATTACACTATATGAACAAGACTAAATTGAAAAGATCCTTAATCAATCTTTTCCTCATTCAAAATTCCAACTTTCCTACTGCCAAGTTGTTAGTAACCAAGTATCCTCCCCATTGAACATTAGAAATCTCTACCACCTTGAAAGAGAGGTTCACCTTTTATTCCCAACTTTCCTACTGCAATCGTGTGATGTTTTTTTATTTTTTTATTTTTTTATTTTTTTTTTATAAGTAACAGATCATTAAAATTTATTGAAAATCATAAAGAAATGCATTGTTACAACCATCCCACAGGGAGGTGTGAGATGAAGCCTCACTGTTAGAACAGAGCTAGAACAGAATTACAATTGCGCCCAATACAACTGATCCCTAATCACCCCTTGCTAGCCTAATGAATCAGCCAAAGCAGTGGCCTCTCTGCCCACCCACTGTATACTTTGATTCATCTGCTGCGTTTGAAGGGATGAGAGATCCATCATATGGATAGTCGAACCCTGCAGGTAGGTAGGGAGAAATTTCAAAAATTTTTCTCTCCCATGTGGGAATCACATTCCCTGTTTTAGAAAATCTTCATTTTCAAGGATCAATCTTGAACCTAAACCGGACCAGATCTGAAACCAAAAGGTAGGAGAGGGTGGTACCTGATACGAAGAAACAATATCTCCCAATGAAGGTGTTCACACCCAAGGAAAACTCCAAAGACTGCTCCCACTGAAGATGACACAGCGTAGGGTGGAGCAGAATTAGCAGGTTCTTCACAAGAACCGAATCCTTCAACAAGAATTCGATGGAGGGTATGTGAGCACGGCTTCAAATCAGTTTTCCTCCAAAAACTGATATCAAGAACCCTTTTTGATCGCTCCTATAGTGGAGTACGAACTGGCAATGCCGGCAGCAGGAGGAGGGCGCAAGAGCAGAAGATGGCGCAGTCTTATTGTAACTGTCTTCTCTCTTTCTGTGATATGGGATCTGTTATGTTGAGATAAATGGAGGTTCGCCCTCCTCCTCCTTTTATAGCCTTAAAGAGAGCTCCTAATCTCATTAGGAGTTTCCTAATTCAAATCTGTATTTGGATCAGGGTTTCTCTTTAAGAGATAAGGATAAGCCCTTATCTTATCTATAGATTAGATCAGCCCTTCTAATCTTATTAGGAGTTTCCAAATCCAAATCTGTATTTGGATCTGGACTCTCTGAGTCGATAGGGATAACTCCCTATCCTATCTGCTGGTCCAAATCCCAGATCCGCCCCCTTCTTTAACTAATCAAATTAGACCAGCTCGATTTGGGCTTTAGGTCCATTAAGTCCATGTGCTCACTAACCTTCCAGACTGCTGCTCAATTGGGTTTCCTTGTATGGTGTGGGACCCAAACATTGATCTACACATCAGCCACATGGGTTCAGCCTAACCTCTGTTACAAGGCCTGGCCGAATTCACTGTTATGGGCAGTGAACCCCTGAGCCCATCACCATGGGCTCTTAACGGGCCCAACACTTACACTAAGTGGTCCCTGGGCCAAGCCACCTTATAAAAACCTAGGG